ACCATGGCGCAACTGATTGTCATATTTGACCCCTTTCACAGTACTCATCTTACCTTTTTCCCTACCTTTATGTCTGTCTGCCTCTTTTACATCTGTGAATCGCTCTTCTATTCCCCACCCCTCGACTTTCTGCTACTTTGATGAGCCTTCCCTCTGTGAAGCCCGAAATCAGCTAAATGGCTAATGATAGCTATCAAAACGCCTGCCATTTTAAATAAATATTTTGGTAATTCATCGGTTTAGTGTCCAGTCTATTTCAGCTCTCTTAACTTCACGCAAGATGGAGAGTGTTCATTGTTATTTAAGTTCCTGTTGTTTTGCTCTCTCTCTCTTTCTCTCTCTTAATTGGATACTTCACTCTATTTCAAGCATCTATTTCCGTACTTCAAGAAGACTATTATTTCAATTTGTTAACACGATAATTCCTTCTCCTCATTGGATTTTGGTCTGTGCCATCTAAGGTCATACATTCGCACAGTGTTTACTTACGCTCGATACACTGTAAATCAGCTTAAGGGCGATAACTTCTTCTTCTTCTGCTGCATACTATCCACTGTGGATATCCAATTCCAATACTTGATGGTTTGCTAGATGGTTTGCTGGTTGAATAACTTTCACAATATAACAGTTCGAAGTGGAATAATTTCCTGAATGAATACACACCGCCAATTTGTTCTTTCATTTTATCTTATTATCAATTCAATTAATATGTTGGTTGACGATGGCATGTGGTAATTATTTTCTTGAATAGTGAAGATCATGGATGAATAGAACCAAATTTAGTGAACTCAAATTAGCGAAACTTGCAAGAGTAAATTTATAAGTAAAATCCTTGCAATTTTTGTTACCTTTTTGATTTAATTCATTCTACTCCTTCGAATGACTGATCACTTTTGACGTTCAATCTTTAATCCGTATTATTAATTATTATCGGAAGCTTTATAAGATCAATCACCATAGTTATTTGTCAACCTTATTTCTTCCACAATACAACATTTGTCATGTTTTAAATGGTCTGATTCTATCCATGTGCAATAAATTAAAGGATTCATTCTCTTAAGGAGTATTTATAAAATCACAAACATACTTGTGAGTACGAAAAAATTTTTGACTACGAACATAATAACTTTTGAACAAGATATGATCCTATTATAAAATAGGCAGAATATTTAAGTGTTTGAAAGTCGCAGATAACGAGTTTAACTCCAATTCAAATAAGAATTCTTCACATTGGGAAAACTATTAACTAGGCAGTAATCGAAGTAGTAGATATAGCGTAAAACATAGAAACATTAATTTTCAAAGTTAATAAACTTTTTTATCATTAAACTTAATCTATTAAATGAGACCGGCAATAATTTTAAGATTTCCATATGTTATGGACTATTTAAATTAGATTAGTGAATTTCAGGAATAAATTGCCTTTCTATAAGTGATGATTCATGATTGCTGAAACACGGCATCAATCTGCTTCTTCCGATCGGATGGGGTAAACAGTAACTAATGACTAGGAGATTCCCATGACTGCCAGTTGTATTGGCAGACCAAAGTGTGATTTTTGGATAAAAATGCTGGTTTAAATATCTAGTTTTCATAACAAAACTTTCGCATTTAAGATAAGAATGAGAAAAGATTTAATTATTTTGAAACTGGAAGGGTATAAGATGATAAGTTTCACTGCATTAAATAAGGACTAAGAGTCAAGAGGATTTCCCATTAAAGGGGTGGATATGCCGCCAGACTAAAACGTTAATCACGTGAGAAATAATATGAATTGTTGCTATGATAACACAGTTATCATAATTAACAATTCCTGAGGACTTTGCCAAATGAAAATAAAGGCTATGCTTTTATTTTAGTCGCTTTTGCTTTTAATTGCCAAATCCTAATGTCAAATTTCGTATTTGTTGTTGATCTTATTCTGTAGATTCCCATAATCGACCAATATTAACGAAAAATGTAAATACATTTTGAGATTTCTTATGAACTTTTACAGCGTACACAAAAAATCCGTGACATTTCTGCTACCTTTCAACCAATGCATCATGTGATGATCTAACTATAGTAACTTATAAGGTTTCCTTCTTATATATCTCTTAATACAAATGGTGTAGAAATCAATTATATTCTTAAATTATTTTAATAAAGGCTAAATTAAGAATATACTTACCTTCTGATCTAGTGGAAGATTGAGAACGTTGACCTTCAACCCAAGAACGTTTAATAAAGCTATCATTTGATTTCTTCATTCCATCCAGCTTTGAAGAGTGCTTTAAATCAAGAGGTCCATGGAGATTCCCACCACTATCAATATCTGAAAATAAAATTTATAGATTTTGAATTTGCACATACAAGCCAGGGAATCCCTAGGCACATTGGCTTCGGAAATGCACAATTTCTGGGCCGAGGGCATATATCTACGAGAGTTCACATGCAAAGAAATGTTTTTTACTTCTTTCTCCAACTCTCTTTCTTCCTAGAGCTTTCTAGAATACTCTGAAGACGGTTGCAAAGACGATCAATCCTAGCCTTGAGTTCCTCTTTATTCGCTGAAAAAGATATAGTGGCATTCTGAGGTCTATCGAATGCATGATCGACGACCTGAAAGCGGCACAAGGCTGCAGTGGAATGTCGGGTCAGGTATTGTTTTATTGGAGTTTCGACTCCCTGTCGAACCTCGAACATATCCCGTTCACAAAAATCGACCGATGTTGTGTGTACGTGTAGTGCACACACGATTAACTACGTGCTTATTACGCCCGCATATATCCGCACCTGCGCACTCTTTGAATTGGCCAATCATAAACGAGTCGAGGAACAAGGAACCACGAATGACATTTAATTGAAAATCAAGACTCCATCTTATTAAAATGTATAAATAGTCGTAAAACCGTTGAAATTTGAAATCCATTTCGTCAGTTTTTAATTAACAATTAAATTGCCTATAGAACAAAACCTATTTCTATTTTAGAGCTTTTAAAAATATTTTCGAAAATTGGGTGAAAACAGTGTAGGAATCTAAAAGTTTAAGTAGGAAGAATATGAATGAATTTTTTAAAACTGAATTGCGTGAGCAATGTTTTCATTTGTCATTGATCTTAGTGCCATAGAACGCTCAAAATATCATAACTACTTATTTTTAATAGTAGATTTTATTATTAGAGGGAAAAATTTAAGGCTTCCTAGATTAAAAGATCTATTCAGCAAGCACTCAAGTCAAAAGATGGAAGTGTTACTAGCACTAAATATTATAAAAGTGTTCTAATTCGAGCTTTTTGATATTAAATAAAATCAACAAGATTTAGAATTTTATGTAGTTTATATGAGCAAGAAATCCTTTTTTGAAGATTGCGACGTTGTTCTATTTGGTATTTTGAGGCCTTTTAATTCGGTGGTGAAAAAATATTCAGAAATTTAAGATTAAATTCGATAAACTTGACAAATAGCCTGAAAAACTCGAGAATTTAGTATACAGGTTTTCATTCCACTAATTATAGCGTTCAAGAAAACACTAAAATTCATTAACCCACTTTTAGTCGAATAACTTTAATCTCAACAATTAATCTAGAGTTTAGTCAAAGGAGTAAATTAAGAGGTAAACAATCACACACACTTCTTGCAAACTTCATATCTGAATATATCTTTTTATTTAAATGACATCAGCTCGAGATTCAACAAGACCTCCTTTAAGTTGGTTTATTTTCATGTGAATGCATTTGGTAGTTAAGTCCTTATGACCTAATTATTTTAATTTTCACAGAGTTATGGATCATTCTTAACAAATAAAATTAATGCCCAATTTAAATAAGGGGAATTAAAACGAAACTCCAAGGTCTTTTGTCGGCTTCTTTTGAAAAAGAGATTTCAGATATGAGTATACTTTTCAAAACCATACAAATTTGAATGTGTCGTTAAATAGGGAGTATACTCTCCTTTGAACTATTAATATGAGGATTAATGGACCGTGATTTCTTACCGACCTACAGCCCATCCATTCAGTTTTACCCTTAAAAAACCTTTGCAACATTTCTGGAGTACGTGAGTTTCATTTAATACTTAGTCTGAGGAAACAAAATTGGCTTTTTTATTGCTCAATATGTCCCAGCTCATCCAATAACGCTTAATGTTTGTATAATAACCTAACTATAGAGAAATTTAACTTTCACAGGTGATAGATTTATTAATTCGGTTTGCTTTAAAATATTTCGATAACAGGACACATTTTGCTGCTAGTGTGGGGCACAAATTAAATTTTCGATTATGATTTAAAACCCTTAATTTAATATTGTTGAGCAAATATTCTAATGGTAGTCTACCCAAGAAGATTGTCGAATTAAAATTGCCACAAACTGTTACCAGTTTAAAATAAAGGAAAAAACTGAAAAATGGGGAGAGAACAGCTTGACATTAGAATATCACGAGTTATGCTTTATTTTAATTTTGTTTACTGTGTTTGGTATTCTTGGATAACAGATCATTCAAAATAGAAATTCTTCCTTCATGACAAAATTAAATAGCTTTGATTTCAACTATGGTTTAAAAGGCATCAATTGCTTACGCATATTAGCCATTTAATGGTACATTAATCATTTGATCTTGTTATATGCCAGTGAACTTGGGCAAATATTTTAAAACCTCTTGGAGACATATTTACCTTTTCGATTATTTAAGATTTGAGGCAATTCATGTTATTTCTACATTTAAGCGATATAGAATTAATATTACCAAGACAAAAACTCTATGACAAGGAGAAAAACCTCGGGACGTCATGTACTAGGCATAATTTTATAACCCCAGTTGTACAGTATCCTCAAAATGACACGTTCGCGTTACAAAATTCAAATTTCTTTATTTTTCCACGGGACTATGGCAAATGTTTACTTGAAATGTTTGACACTTCCTTACTGGTATTAATTTATCAAGGAAGAGGAAACTTTGTTAACAGGCAACGAATTAAGATTATTCGTCTAGTCACTTGATTTTTCATGGATAACAAAACTCAATGAAATCTATTAAAATAAGGTCACTATTGCATTGCGGTTTTCATCACCCTGGTTACCCTTCACGGTTGCAATCGCTATAAGATGCACTTTCAACATTAAGGTTCTCGTGGTAAACTCTCCTAAAAGTACGCAAGCACCCATATTCTAAGGCTAGTTCACGTGTTTTCGCCTTATGTATGTGCTAATGTACTTCCTCCCCCCCCCCCCCCCCACCCCCCTCCTCCTCCTCCTCCTCCTCATACGTCACGGTTGAAATCTTATCTAGTTTTGGCGTTGATATTATTTTTAAAAGTGTATTTAAAGTGCATGTATGAACTCATCTTTGTGCAAAGTTGTCCTCATTAAGCACCTGTAAGTGGAGAATTTGTATTCATTTAATATATTTTTGGCAAGGCATATCTTAAATTATGATAGCTAAATTATCAGTGGTAAGTTTAGATAACCTACATTTAAGCATTTAGTTTCTTCTAATACACTTAATGTCCGCGTTTTAGTCTGCAAGGAAACAGGTATCAGTTCGATAACACTAAGATATGTCAACGATATGTTCAAGATTTACAAATGGTGGGTTTTGGGATAACAACTTTGAGAATACCAAATGTTGAAATGAAGAAGGTTGATGATTTAAAGCATACTTATCCAGTTAATTAATCGTATTCGATGGAATTTAAGTACATGAAATGTAGAAATTTCTCGTAATGGTAATAGTGGAAGAAATAATTTCTTTAACAAGAATATTTTTTATAAAATTATACTTTTCGAAATTAAAAAATTGTAAACCCAATTTTATTTGATATTGATTTATTTAATGGTATTCTTCTAACTTCTTCAATTCAGAACTCTCATAAACAAAGGTGAAGAGAATATGTTCTCAGTTTCAGCTAATGCTTCTTGGCAATGATATTGTTTATTTATTCAAGTGCTCATGACTAACAGTAAATGGAGAGTACTAGAAGAAGGGGAGGGGGAGGTGTAAAGCATTAAACAGAAGATGAAGTCCTTAGATTTGCTTAAAATCTCGTATTTAAATCATAATGGAATTCCAAGTTTCCAACAATATGGAATTTTAAGGAATGCACCGCTAATAATGCATTGTTAGAAGCGTAGAACACAAAATTTAATTTCCTACTGAAATTAATGCTCACTGCCATATAAAAGACACAAGGCAATCAAAGTCAGCATTCATTCAAAGTCGGACGTTTGAGTTATTGATCCTTTGTAAAAGTAACATTTACTGTTAGGTACATTTCAACTTTGATTTTGTGAAAGAGCTTTGAACGTGGTTCTAATAATGCTAAGAATAATAATAATAATAATTTTGTGTAAGGCACTTGTGCCAATACTAGATGGATTTCAAATACATTGTCAACGCTGCTCCGACGGTCTTCAAAAACAGAGAAGAATAAGAAGGGAGCATCTTGCCCACATAGTTTTAGTATTTTTGAATGCAATCATACTGCATAATTTTGTTGGTAAAATTCGCTGTAAAAATATGTATAACAACACTCCATCCTCGGATTATCCGAGTTGGCAGTTCCAACAACGGAGATAAATATTGTTTGCAAAACTTTAACGCCTACTATAAAGGTATGTAATGTATGACGTTGAATAAACTATTGGATAATTTATAACAAGTGAAATATTCAAAGTCTAAGGCCAACAAATTTGGTAGTAGAAATTCGGATTTGTTAAGGAACATTTATTATTTTTCATCAAAACTGGCAATGGTAAAATTACAACAACGAATTCCTTTTAAATGAGAATTGATATTGAAATAGCTTATTTATTTTAAATTTATCAGCCACTAACCAAAAATGAATTTGGTTGGCGATTTGAGTTTGGAAGAGATAACTAAGCTTTTATTTGCTTAAGTTAAGTGCGCGCATTCAGCTACCTTCATTTAAACTTGATTCTTTCTTCACCTTTTTATTTTATATGGCAATAACGTATTTGAAATTTCGGATGATAAAACACTGGTAAGGTAATTTATTTCATGAATGTTTGGAATATTTCAGCATATCCTAATTGGCGATGTATTGACTGACGTAACTATCATTTAGTTAGCCAATCAAAAAGAGGCAGATTTTTAAATAATTCCTAAGAGAAAATTTCTTACAACTGAAGAAATTTGGGTTGGTAAATAGCAGGCCATTTTAAATGATTATTAAGACAGTTAGATATTGAAATCCTAAAATGTTTGAAAATATAAGACCTTTCCGATGAGCATCACAGATTCTCTAACACTGCATTTCAATACTTTCAACGAAGAAACAGTAATCCATTTTAAATATATTTTCTCCTGAAATAAGAAATTGAGTTAGTTTTATGACTGGAAGATGAAATATTCTTGAAGGTTGGGGTTCACCTGAAAGTTTACTAAAATTTTATTGTTTGCTTGAAATTATTTTAATTTCGAGTGATATTTTATTTAAATAACTTAAATATTGAGAACAAAAGAACAAACTAAGAAAGATATTAACGATCTCAGAATGAATTAATGTGTCATCCTATTTCAAAAATAAAAATTTATTTCCTTTGTAATTTGATATAGTTTCCAAATTTGCTACTTTCAAGATAATGCTTTCAACTTATTCCGTTGAATTAAAATTGATCTAGGCATAAAATAATAATAAAGCACGTTTTACGTAGTGGCTTAAAATAATAAACCTGCCAGAAAGAAATTTGACGTTTGCTGAAACGATTTCCTTTTAAATTATTATTTCCTATTAAGACTTACCATTTTCCGTTTGGGGTATGTTAATTTTTTAATGCTGATATCCACAGAATGCAGATTAAAATGGAATGTTCGTTTATGCCCCCACTGCACATCAAAATTAAATTGAGTAATCTTCTTGGTTAAGACTCAGATGGAAGACAATGCAGTAAAACAACACGACCCTATGCCGTAACCTAATCAAAACTTAAATTGAAACTGTTGTTTTCTATTTGCCCTGTAGAATTAAATAATCATCGTTCATTTCTAATAAAATGTGTTGGTGGAATAATTTTATTGTAGGGTTTCTCAGGCTTTAATACTAGTGAATTTGTAAAACCGAGTGAGTTTCACATATAGCATTTATCCCAATAGTTAACCTTCGTAACATTCCAAAAATTATATCTAGCATCAAATCAATATCGTTGTACTTGCATGATTAGTTACGGCAACTACTGTTTACAATTAAGTTAAAGTAAATAATTTATACACAAACTAACTCACAATATAGGGCCTCGTTGCGATGACGAAACCAGACAGTAACATCAACTCTGTAGCCTTCCTGATCAAACATCTCTCCTCCAACCTTGAGAACTTGAGTATCCTTTGTACTCCCTTGCCGCATGCTCATTACCGCAGCACCAGCAGTCATAATTTTTGTTTAATGAAAATCAATAGAATTGACAGGTTGACAGGGAGTCCTGCGTAAAGGAAAAATCGAGAAAAGTGAAATTTTGAAATTCCAAAGTTTGAATGAAATTTTTCTATAACAATTCCAAAGTGTCCTCTTTGCCTCCTCCTTCCACATACAGAAGAAATCACCAATTATACGCAATTGGTGTTTAGTAATGCGCTATTTGTACAGAGATGGTTGTGGCTTGCAATCGACTTTCTCCACCAATCGACACTCACAAGTCTAGCACACGGAATACTAGGACGAGCGGACGAATGCTACTGATTGGCCAGTCACCAGTCTAAATCGTACAATCACGTGCGTTTGTGCAGATGTATACGTCTGTTTGGATATTGGTGGAATGATTATGGACACCGCCAACCGTAAAAAAGGACTACCTAAATGACACCTAAAGGCCAGCTGCTTCTGCCTAGTTTATGTAATTTTTGTTAGTTCCGCCGGTCGGTATTCAATTTTTCCTGCCACAAATATTACTCATCCTTTTGTTTGTCTCATACTAATACTTCTTACATCAAAATTAACATTCTTCTTTCGAAAAAACCTCAACTTAATTTACGTACAACCTGTCCTATAAAAGATCAATCAATTAACAATGAACGTACATTGTGCTAGTAGACAACAATATTTCAATCTATTTTTTTTAAGTTTTTCAATAAATATTTGTCTATTAAGACACTAAAATTTGTGCCTAATCGGGCTATGTTCTTAGACCACAGAAATACCAACTAACATCAACTTGCACATAATATCTAACCTAACTATATAAATGTATTCCAAAAATGACATTAGAATTTACGTGGCTTTATGGGAAAATATGAACTCAAAGGTACAGAGCTTCCTTACTTATAACCTTACTTATTAAAAGTTTTACTTTTAAAAAACTTGGTGTTTAAGTTTAGGCCCAAACTTTTATTGTCAAAATTCTGAATGCGTACCTCATGGGGCCTGATAGAGCTTTTCAAACCGTAGGACTATAAAATTCATTTAATTTATAACTTCTATAAACCGCATAACAAGTATAAATAATTTACTATTAATTGTGAATAAATATAATTTTATCGGTCCGAATTAATATTTTTATAAATAATATAAACTATTTATCAGCTGATAATCCCGAGAAAGTAGAAGCAACTGTCAACCTGATTAGACTCGAGTATCCCTTGGCTTATTTCAAAGAGTTACTATAAGATACGATAGAACGAAAGATGTCCATCCAATTGATAATAACAGAGCACACCAGTGTCAATACGCTTGGTGTTTATCAAAAATTATGTTCATAAATTAACCAGTTTTCACAGAATATTATGTTTTAAAACTGTTAATTCGGATTGGGTATGAAAATTATCATCCCTCAATGACACTGGCAAACTCGATATGCATCTATTGTGATCATTTTGCCTAGTATTGATCAATACACATCCACCAGTTATTCGCCGTATCAAAACTTCACCGTTCACTCTACAGGCACAGGCCTCCCTAGCAAATATGACAATTCTGTCAGAATGATGAACATTGTTCAATCGTAACCCGTAAATCAATAGAAATTAAGTGAATTACAACTTTTAAATGCAATAACTTTTGCTTAACACCACTCGATAAGCCACTAATAATATTCTTATTGGAATAGAATAAAAGCGAAATGCGTGTTATTCATACTTTCAGAATTGTAAAGAAAAAAATATATTATTTGTAAGAGGTGAAGAAATTACTGTTAAATTTCTGTCTAAAACATCAAATAATAAATTAGCGTGACCTAGTAATTAAAGGATGACATGAATTTATTCACTTCTATTTTAAATTTAAAACCATGGCAAAGATCTGACTTGAAATACAGTGTTGTAGGACTTTATTTTCCCATTTTTAATTTCGAAATTTTTCTTTAGACTAATTCAATTTCTTTAAAGATCCTGTTGATTATGCCTTTAAAAATATCCAAGTTTCCTTTAAGTCACTTTTACTAATTAGATCAGTGAGACCCCTGTGAAATGTAGATAGCAAATCTTGTGCAAACCTCATGTTACGTGTTTAATATTGATTAAACTTGGAAGCATGTCGCATAGGAAAAATTAAATCATCTCTCAGAATTAATCACTTGTAATTTTGAGTCGCTTTAATTAGCAATGCCATTCATTATAATTACTTTTAACTCGAAAAGTGATTTGAACTGTTAAAACGTGTTAAGCAGTGCTTATACTAACAATCCTCGGCAAAAATAATAATGTATTAGGTAAATTATTTTGAAAAAAAAGCATTATTTCGACTTAACCTGTTAGTTACAATTTTCCCACCCGTTCCACCTTTAATGAATCAAAGATTTAGTCATATTCAGCCGAAAAAATTATTGAAATTTCTAAGTCCGCTAAACCCTATGGACTTTAGTGCAAACTCATTTTTTGTGCGTTATAAAAATTTCCCCTTGTTCGGGCAACCAGACTTTTAATCAATGTGTAGTTAGCGCGTCGTATTCAGTTGACTGAATGAATTGCTTGAATAACTCTAAGGTGTGAGTGAAGTTTAGAGAAAGTTATTGCCGAACCATACGTTTTAAGGAATGATAAGACATGCTTATTGATGTCAAATAATGCACTACCAAGACATGCCTGCTAAATCAAATTTACTCAAAGTCGATTGGTACAAAATAGTTGACCTGATTAGCTGCATTTAATTAGCAGGAAATGGGACTAGCTACATGGATTACGGGAGAAGTTGGAAAGATATTTATTTATTTATTTATATCAAATGGCAGGCGTTTTGAAAGTTATTATTAGCCCTTTAGTTGACTTCAGGCTTCATAGAGGGGAAGAAAATCAAAGTGAAAAAAGTCGAGAGGAGGGGAACTGAAGAGTGTTTCAAAGACGAAGGTTGAAAATTTAGAAAAAATGAGATGATGTACTGTGGAAGTGGTCGAATAAGTCATACAGTGGGGTCATGGTAGTTTGAAGTCAGAAGCCAACTGGCATTCAATAGACTTTTTTGCCGTATGAGTATACATTGTCCAGGGTGTACCACGTGGAGGTAAGTCTATCGCACACCCCAAGTTGAAAAGATGGAGTTTCATTACGACGCATATCACGTCTTAGTTAAGTGCCGTGCAGTTTCAATAAACGGAAAGAAGAATGGTCTCACTGCAAATGACAGATGGTGAAATTTTTTCACTAATCATCAAAATGTCTTTCCTTCCCTAATATCGTTTCATATAGTCTTGGAGTTATATTAAGTGAACAAATTCTGTTTCCCTAAACTTGTTTTGAAAGCAGCAAGACTAATCCATTCCTGACATGAATGAAGTAAACAATAATTTTCAACCAAGAGTTATATAAAGAGCTTTATTTAAGTTTCAATATTTGAAACAATTTAGATGTACTATTTTTGATATTGCTTTTTCCTTAATTTCTTATATAATTGGAACAGTTTAGCTTAATCAACACAGTTTAACTTGATCAGCTCAAGATTTAACATTCTGTTAAAATTTCCTTTACAATGCTTTACATATATATATATATATATATATATACCAAGTTTCCTTTAAATAAAAATGCGGCATACCCTCAATAGTCGAAATTTTACCAATAATTTAAAATTAGGAAAAATCGAAAGATTTGCATTTAATTTTAATCATTAAATTGAAATTTTAATTTAACTCATAGATAGCTGTATTGTATAAATTTGACCAAACTAGTCGACATACTTCTTCATTACATTGCATTGCATTGCATTACATTATTTGGTAAGCAGTTATGTGTGTACCAGTTCTCCGCTCCCAACAATTAACTGCTTACTCTCTCACCCTCTCTCTATTTACTCCTCATTTCCTCCGCAAATACAACACTTGTTTGAACATTCAGTATAAAAGATGAATCTAAACTAAAGAGCCCTACTTAATTTTAATTCTGAATTCATTATTCATATTATCTGAAATTCAAATTTCTGTGTACAAATCCCAGGCTTCTGGATAAGTTCATAAACCCTTTGATTAGAACTTATTTACTCTCAGATTTAGACTCTATATATAAGGTAAGCGGTAGTGGACAAACCATTGAGAATATCAGACTAATTGAATTTTACAGTCTTAATTTGTAGTGTGCTCAACCTCGAAAACGGCACCAAGACCTTCAATATATTCATCCTTACCACGTTACCAGCTGCTAAGCTATACTATTGTTTCTCTTATAGGGCTAACATACATAGAAAAGTGTTTACCTACTTGGAAAGGCAACTGGTAGAGATCAGAACGGACGAGCATCCTAATTGTTTTAATGTACTTCAAATACTTTGTCAAAACATTTACACAACTTTAATGTTAAAATACCACCTTGAAATCTCCACAGGTTGTAAGAGCTCGCCTACTACGAGCTGAACGCTATACATGAGACCGTAGAAGTCTTCGTGAGTTTTTTTCTGAGGTCTCTTTCCCTCTGCTAAAAAAATGCATTTTCTTCTTTTTAATCCTAAAATATTTTGCCAGTGGGACTTCAGTTATTTTTATAAATACGAACAAATCTTGGAAAGTGCTTTGAAAGCGCTCTTGCTTTTACTTTTTCTCAAGAAACGGACTCGTGAAGAATCCATTCGCTATTTATTCATTATTTACCAACAAAAAGTCAAGTTAGGTAAAAAATATATTTGATCAGAGCATATTCATTAACGTGATAGATTCTAAATGAACTTTTTCATTACCAAAGTCTTACGTATGACATTCTATATGCCGCTATCCTGATAATTGTATAAGATCGATTTTTATGCATACTACCTAATATTCTTTGAAAAATGTAATAATTGATTAGTTCATTGAACTAGATTTATTAGCGTTGCCTTGAAGAAGAAAATTATAACAGGTAAAATTTATAATAATAATAATTTGTAAATAATATAATCGTCTTACTTACAAGTGCACTTAATGAAGAAAAAGCTCTGTTGAATTATTGTACGACTTACAGTTTATAAATATGAATTATTGT